AAGTTTTTATTCTACATAAGCTTGCCAATTACAATTTTGAGAGTTTATAAACATTACATTGTTATTGTATTACAAACATTTGGTTTCATTCTTCCAATGAAAGTGGTAATATACGGAACACTTGATTAATCACACTAAGTGCTAAAGGGTAAACAGCTCAGAAATATTTAAAATGCTGGTAGGAAAGACATTTATTCTAACAGACGTGCATAACGCTTTCTTTAAAAGAAGTGTTATCATGTTAGATCCACTTAGCTTATCTGATCAAATGTTTCAAGGTCAACATGTTAGAAGGGACTAGAGTTTCTGGCCACAAAGAAAATTCGTCAGAGCTCTAATCTCAAAGAAAGATTGCAAAGTTTCAATTTTTAAAAGTGACATATGACAAGAAAATTTACACTGACCTAGTACAAAAATGTAAAACAAAACACAAATCTTTTCAACTCCCCGAATCATCAGTAGCTAAAGCTATTTACAATTCTGGCTAAATTGCTGAAGACTATGACTGATAAACCTCCCAGAAAGAAACAATGACATTTAATTGTGTCCTGTTCTTCTTTTTGAGTCACCATGCACGGAAGGGCATTCAATAAATATCAGTAAATATCAGTTTTGCATAGTAGTTCAGAGACTGAGCTGTAGAGTCAGACGGCCCTGGATTTAAAACCTAATTCTGTCACTCACTATAAGTGACCTTGGACACACGAAACTTAACCTCCGCCCATGTGCCTCTTTCCATATCTGCAAAATCAGGATCCTCATACCGACTTCAGAGGTTGCTATGAGCCTTAGGTGAGATGCATGTATTTACTCACAATGGAATATTATACAATTGTCAAATTAAGTGAATGATAGCCATACTTGGGGACATAAATAAATATTGGCATTACAATATTAAATTAAAAAGGAAATCCTAAAAGTAACACAGCATGATATCTTTTAATAAAGTTAAAAACAACTAAAATTAAAATATCATTCCCTGTCAAAGGAAAGCAAGTGAAATCAAGACTATGGGTCCAGGAACATGATTACCTCAGGTGAGAAGAGCAGAGGATGGACTTGGGTTGGGAAACCATATGGTGAGGCGTCCCTTACAGCTATAGGCAGTTAGACAGACATGAGCAGAGCAAGGACCATGGGCCAGGTTCAGGTCAGCAGGGCAGAAAGCCCTGTGTGCCTAGCAAAGGGCAAAACTGGGAAAACAAGAACCTTGTCCCTAGTGGGACCTTTCCTATCCTAGCATATCACTGGTCATGAGGTGTAGACACCCTGACCTTTTCCTCCCAAGAGATAACATCAAGGCCTCATTTGCATTTCAGCTCCAGGCCCAGAAAAGCAGCAAAACCAGACAAGTGACACCTTGGCTGCCTCAGGAACAGCTGCATTAACTAATGACCTCCAGCTCTAGAGCTGACCAACCAGTGGAGACCATGGCCCTGAAAGAGCACACCTGGAAAGCTGATGACTATTCCATTGAGACCTCTCCTGAGACCTCCCTAAGATTCTCACCTGCAAGAGAGAGATAAATACCCTCAACACCAAGGACCCAGCTCGATTTCTCTCCCAGGGGAGCACACTCCTGCCATTCCCTTCCCCTTCTTCCCCCACAGACACTATATCCCCTAAACTCTAAGGGACCCCAGGAGACTTGCACCCAGGGGAGCAGTGGGCAGTGGCAGCTCCTCCTGAGCTAACCCCCTGGACCTGTCTCCAAGGCCCCTGTTCTCTGACTTCCCAGTGAGCTAAAGCAGCCCCACCTCGGCTCTCCTGTTGCTTTTTCTAAACGCTTGCCTGTTTCACTGTCCTGAGTGTGGTTTTGCTGCAGCCAATAAATTCTTGCTTCCTTTGCTGCCCTTTGCCTCTTGACTGAAATCTTTCCT